TCAACAATGATTCATCCCATTAAAAATATCACCACTAATAGCACTAATGCATTAAAAAAGTAAAAAAAAAAAAAAAAAAAAAACTTAAAGCCAAAACATCACATCAGTAAGTGAGACTCACTCTCTAGAACTCTTTTAGAGCTCCTAATTTAGAACTTCCAAATATTTTTCTTTACATAATTTGTAAACTTAGAGGGTATTTACGTAATTTGACACGGCAACATTTTTATCACATCCCAAATGTAACAATTGTTTTTTGAGTAATGCTAGAGACTTCAAATATTTTACCAAAAGTTTTATCAAATGTCTCACATGGGTGTGAGACCCACACAATATGGATGCTATGTGAATCTCACACCCATATAAGATATTTAATAAAATTTTTAGTAAAATTTTTAAAACCTCTAACATTTTTATTGTTTTTTTAGTTGGCTCAGCTTTTTTCCGCAACAACAAAAACGCGTTTTTGTTGCTCTTCCCAAAACGGCACACAATTTAGGACCAAGTTATTATGACTTAAACTCGTTCTGATAGCACAGTTACCAACAAGCTGAGTGGATGGGCATCATTCTGATAAGCACAACTCTCAATAAACCAATATTACGAGGGGAAGTGATTGAAGCCCTTTCCAATCACTATCCCTATTATCTTTATACATAAGTAACGGGTGGTGATTAGAGAAGAAGGTAAAAAAAAAAAAAAATTGACCAATCAAAAAGAGAGAGGGTCAAAGAGATTGCCTCCTTGAGGGGTCCAACTCATTTTCCTATTACGAGAGGGGATGGGTAAAATATTAAGACCTTGTTTGACATAAATTAAAAATTATAAAAAGTCAAAAAATTATTATATTATTTAAATTATATTATTTTATTTAAATTATATCACATCTCTACTATATCATTTTAAATTCAACTCATATTTTATAAAAGTCAAAAAATACACTTATTTAGGACATCCCAAATCACCCCTAAAATTACAATTCAGTGGTATTTTTTTAAAATATAATAATTATAGTTTGATGAAAAAGTTTAAGACTTTAATTATTAAATTTTGTGAAGTTTATCACTAAAAAAAAATTTCAAACTTACACTAATTGTTATTTATTATGTACTTAAGGTCAAGTTTGGCATTCTCCAAAAAATCTAAAAAGTCAAAAAGTCACTATCCTATTTAAGTCACATCATCTTATTTAAGTCACATCACCTCTCTAACACATCACTTCAAACCCAACTCATATTTTATAAAAAGTCAAAAAGTACACTTATTTAGTCTTTCCAAACTTAGCCTAAATAAGTACAGTTTTTGACTTTTTTTATATTATGTGTAGAAAAAATAAAGAGAAGATATTGATTGATGTGACTTAAAAAAAATAAAATAATAAAATAAATGCACTTTTTTAGATTAGCCAAACTTGACCTTAGAACGCTTTCGAGGCTTGATGATTGCAAAGCAAAGTGGGTACGTAGTGGCCAATATACCGTAGTGTATCCACTTGCCTTAGCAACAAGCACATATAGACGTAAGAATACCTCTTTTTGTTCAATCAATTCTCCATAAACATTGAGAGCAGCTACCATTTTTGAGATTAGTGATGCTACTTCCACTATAATAAATCTAAATATCATGCTACAAAATTCACCAACTAATGCTTAATGATGCAAGAGATGTGATAGGAAAATTGTTACTAGAGCCATTCCAAATTGTCCGGTTGATACAAAAACAAAAACTTAAAAATAATTTATCATTGTACTAAAATTTTCAATTTTTTTCACCAATTGAACGATTTCATTAAGTATTTTTTGTGTAAAAAAGTTAAAAAAATTTATACAAAAAAATACTATTTTTAAGTTATCATTTTCTAAATTGAACAAAAAAATTGAGATAAAGATAGTAAATGGGATGATATTGTGGTTTACCCCCCGCCCCACGAAAAGAGATTTGTTTAGTCCCGGTTGATTGATGTTATTTATCTTTTATTTACAAACTATGCTATGATCTTTCATTTACAAACTATGCTACTACTAACTTGGGGGGGTTTGATCAAATTAAAATGAAGAATTTTAGCTCTGAACTTCCAATACTAAAATACTAGAGTACTAAATCTTCAAATTTGAAAGTCTTAAGATAAATATATATTTTCACTATTTTTAATGACAAGGCTCCCTAATTTAAAATTAAGATTTATTTTCGGTCAATTTTCATATTTAAGTGATTAAGTTATTATGTGTTTAAAAAATTAGACTCATGTGGTGTAACTTTTTGCAAACTAAAACCAGATAATCAAAAAAATAGAAACTCAAAACACTTCCCTTTAAGGTCTTGTTGTTTTCATTTTAATCTTGTATATTGTTTATTTTATTTTAATATAACTACTTTTCCTATTCCTTCAAAAAAAAAAGAAGTTATTTTTACCTTACAAGTTATAAGTAAAATTTCTACCAAACACTCCTTAAAAAAAATAAAACAAACTATAAATAGACTACATAAACTGCACCACAGGGATAGTTTCAGCCTTGAGTACCGAATTGTGTTTATCAAACAGGACCTAAAAAATGGCAATAAGAAAAACATGTAAAATAAAAATATGTCATTTTGTGTGGTTCCAGCAATGACTCTCCAGGTCAAGTTGGGAGAAAGATCTACTTTCATTTCTAAGTAGAATTAGCTGTCATTTCTATGTAGAATTGTATTTTTATTCACATTTCATGTTTGTAGAGTTGTCCTGCTATTCACATTTGATGTTTGTCTTCTCACAAATGTTTCAATCCTTTGTCGTGCCCAAAATGAGAAAGCAAAATGGTCAACAGGGCTACACCCTGCAACTTAGGCACGGCATGTTACTCATTGCATATGATTTTGTAGTTTGGAATTTTTTATTATTCATAGAAGATTATTTATAATATAACAAGAGAATTACATCAAAATGAGCCGTTAACTATATAAGAAAATCCAACACATACCTCAAAATTGCAATTCCTCTTCTTTCTGCTAATATGCCATCTGATTCATGCTCATGGAGTAAGCAATTTTCCTTCCAAAAGAGAGAATAAAAATTCACATGACTTCTGCTAAAATGCATATTAATTATTACTACCAGTGCATTTCAACATGCTATTTTGAGTTTATCAAGTATATTCATCAATATATTTATTCGTAAAGCTTTATATACTATAGAAACATATGATATTATCTCTAACAAGAATGGTTCTTTATTAATGATTCATTAACATATACATCAAAATCTAATTTAACATTATAATAATAAAATTGAACAGTGATAACATAATTATATCGTCTAATACACTCATTAGGAAACATAAAAGAAATAAATTAATAAAAAAAAAATTGAGACAAGGCACTGTAGTTCAAATTCCATGCTACAACTCAACACACACATAAAAGTCTTTGGATTAACCTCAATTTAGACAATGACTACAATACTTTTTTATTATTTACTCCTTTTTTTTATTATTATCTTTGAAACGTATACAATCTCAAATCCATGGGAGACATCACTCTTATGAGCAACAAGAAAACTAGTATGAACGTTCAAAAAGCACAATCAAACATACCATTAACTTCCACGCCACTTAAACACTTCCTGATGAGACAAAACCCGCAATCTTCCTGCATTAGAGGCTATACATGATGAGAACAAATTTATATACCTAGCTGAAGTGGCTATATATACATCACGATAACGAATTTATCTAACAACAATGCTTGGTAGCCCGAATTTTCATGGCCCAAATGGCTCGAATGTCTCGAAACGACGTCTTTTAGGGGGGATAAAACGATGTCGTTTAGATACATTCGAGCCATTCAGGCCACACAAATTTGAGCTACCAAACTTTTTTCTTTATCTAAACTTACAATTGACAATTAATGGGCTTGCTGCAGACGCCAAACCATGCAATCCCGCATTGCCAGAAAGCATGCAACAAGAAAAGCAACCTGCAAATTACTTGGATTTTGTGAGAAAGCAACCAAAAAACACTCAACAGTAGGATAATCCTTTCATTTGATAAGAGACCATGAAAGTAAAGACAAACTTTTATTCCACTAGTCAATCAAATACAAAATTTTCCAAGTTGTGTATATGGAGAAAAAATGTTCTTGGCATGGAAGAATATAAAAACAAAACAATCTTTCAGCTTCCACTTCGCCAATGATTTTTGTAAAGAAAAAAAAAAACGGTTTAATTTCATTGGCCTGAGCGAGTTTCCTCATTGCTCGTTAGTTTTGCCTCTGAGCATGTCTGTGAAACCTCCCCTCATAATTCGCCTAAATCTTGTGTCCTCAACAGGGGGTTGTGGGACAGGCTTTGGGCTTTCAACAGGCTCCACCGGTGGTGGGTCTCCAGTTTCCTTCTTGCCCAATAGCCCACTATCGCCAAAGAAACTGGTCACAGATGAGGCAAGCCCGAGATGAGCACCCATCACCTTACTAATAGCCTCAAAAGTTCCACCTGCTCTTTCCTTCATTATGATTTCGAGTGCTTCTTTATGTGCTGGATCAAGGGCATCAGTGTCTTTCAACAAATTCTGTATTGCCGGTAGGAGCAAATCCCTAACACTAGTTGCTGGAAGATCTGCAGCAATCAGAGCTGAGAATTAGCACCAGATGAAAGTTTGAAGGAATGAGAAATCCATACCATTCTTACACGCAGGAAATCCATACATCTACATGCAGTTATATAATTCGGGGATCATTTTTCCTTTATTTTTTTTTTTTTTGACAAAAAATAATTGGGGCTAATTATACTCTGAAACATCAACACTTGTTAATAATCAGAGCTGTTGGAAACAAAAATATGGCTGCATAGTGAGATGGGAAATGTTGTGACTAGTATACACCCATGTTAATCCATCAGGCCTCCTCTGCCTCGGAAAATTAGTACTATATTGATTACTGGCTGTGGATATCTCCACTAGAAACAAATAAACATGACACTGTACTCCACAAGAAGCATTGAACTCACACAGGTTGAAACGAAAAAAGAAATGTTTCTGATCTTGAAAGGAGCAAACCTGTAGCATCTAGAGCACGGATGGATTCACAAAATGCATTAGCTCTCTCACGGCGACGCATCACATCACTTGATGGAGGTGGTGTGGTTGTAAGTTGGAAAATCTTTGATAATAGATGTATACCAAGTCAAGGAAAATAAAGATTGTAATATATTGAATAACACGAGGAACAAATGATATATATATATAATGACTAGATAGGAAGGCAGGAAATATTCTGAATTCTTTCAAGCACTGACAGTAATTCCCCAAGGAAAAAGGGTTGAGGATATAATCTCTAAGTCTATCTGTTGTATGTGGGACAGCCACCACCAATGCACGGACCACAGCAACTGTAGCTTCATGTGATCCATCTTCAAGAAAAGCATCCATTTGAACACGTATTTTGTCCACGATCTAGCAAGTATAAAATTTGATCAGCCAGATTCCTTGAATCTGCTTTATTAAAATGTCAATATCAGATCAACACCAAAAAATATATACCATGTCATTTTTAAAATGCTGTGCCACAGTTCCAAATGCGTCAATGCTTGCATATTTTACGTTCAAGTTTTGGTCAGAGCCAAGAGTGACAAGAGCAGGCACAACATGAGTGGAAGCCACTTTAGCATCAATATATGGTACCTATCATGAGAAAGATAACAGAGAGTCACACACAATAGTAGAAGAGGTTGGAGATAACTACTCCAGGTAATTGAATACACTTACAATAACTTTCAACAGATTGGTGGCACTGATTTTCATATTTATATTGGAGCACACAACCATTTCCCACAAGATATTGAAAATCATATTATGATGTGCTTCATATGTGCTGCATTATGTAAAAGTTGAAAGTCAAATAATGAAATTCAAAACTAACCATAATCTCAATAATACCAAAATGATTTCACAAAATACCAACCAGAGGAAGCGGACAGAGTTTACAATCTCAGCATGGTGCTTCATTGGCTGACCCTCCTGCACTGCACTTTGAACTAACAGATTTCTCAAGTACTCTGTCAATTGTTCTTGTTTGCTTGGAGATCCTAACACCCCCGCCAATAGAAGTGGTAAGACACACAGAGTAGCAAGTCTCTCAGCTACACCAGTTCTCGGTCTCAATCCTGTAGCAACAAGGATCAACAATGGTCCAATGATGTAAAAATAAATAAATAATAAAATATAGTTCTGTGATAAATAAGAATAATGAATAATTCAAATTTGACTACCTCTGATTCTTGACTGGATTGTGGAAGGGAAAATTTTGAAATCAGCATTATCACCAACTGCTACCAAGAATACTGGCAGCATAATGTGTGTCAGATAATCATCTCCAAAAAGTTCAGATACAGCCAACAAAAGCTGCATTACCAATATCTAGGTCAGAAACTATTCGAAGAGCACTAACATCATGCATAATCATAGAGACCCGATAAAACCACAAGCACTCAAGGAATAAATGCAAAAGCAGATAAAAGTACCTTTGTGATTCGATTTCTTAGATTATCTTCCTTTTGAGGTAAAAGAGAGGCAAGTTGAATCAAATTGGGAAAGCAGTCAATGTGCAGCCATTCAAATGCAGGCCATTCCACACTTCCCCTGACCAGCCATCAAATCTATCAGAAACAATATGGAAGTAGCTAGCTTTTTGAAAGTTGTCAGGATATTATCCAAAATAAAAAATTTCTGTCCCCCATGGAAGTAGAAAAAGTAGATAAAAAAATTGGGTCAAACAGAGCTTACCCTGCATACCGATCAAGCAAGGAGGTAGAAAACAATATCCCTGAATGTTCTGAATTGCTTGGAAATGGACACGTCTCAATGGCTTTCTGATGAACAAATGGAAGCAACTCTGCCAGCAACCGTAATAAGACATCAACATTCCAGCGCTCCCTTTCACCTAGAACATGGAGGTGTGATTCAACAGAACCTTCAACGCCTGAAAGAGGTGGACATCTCTGATAAAATAAAAAAGAAAAAAAAAGGTGTATTAGGAATGATGTTTTGAGATAGTTATAGGCAATGACTGAGGAACTATATGTAGAAATAATCATAAACCTGAGCAGAGCTTAAGATGTGAGAGAGTAAAACTCGTAACACATGGTCCAATTTGTTTCCCCAAGTTATTAAAGCAGGGACCAATTCTTTGATTGTAGTTTCTACAACAGCACCAGAGGGATCGCAGACCAACTGAAACATCATATCCTCAACCTGCCAACAAAAAAGAAACACGAATTGGAGATACTTTTCTTCTTCTTTTTTTCTTTTCGTTTTTCTTTCTTTTTTCTTTTTTTCTTTTCTTGTAAGTCATCATATTATGATCAGGGGAAAATGCTCCATTCCCTAGACCACGTAGCTTACATTGTAGGCAATTCTGTCAAGTCAGATTTCTTCTCCATGATTGCCTCGAAGCATATTTAGTGAGGCTGACCTTGAAATATTTGTCCACATTTGGGAAGAGTGGAAGCAGCAAAGCTAGATTATGAGCAGCAGCCTCACGGACAACAGTTGCAGAATCCTCTATCAGTTGTTGCACAATAGACAAGATGAGTGAATCACGAATCTCAGGCCGGACAAATTCTGCAAGCTCTCCACATGATTGAGCAACAAGCAATCTGCGCTCCTCATACATGTGATTAATCTGCATTCCACAAAACCAGAAAGATCAAATCCATCACAAAGACAAAGGATAAATACAACTAGAGTAAGAGTCCTTGCAAATTCATGATTTAAACTCACTTGCTCCCAACACTGGGGAAGCAATTCTGTCTCTGTTCTCATTTCTCCCACATTCTTAGCAAGGGTAACACAGGCCTGAACGGAGGAAAAAGATTCAGCATCATGTTTGAATCACAAAGATATCTTACAAATAAAATGTAGCACTTAATACACAAGCTTACATCCATAATAATTCGTCTCTGTTGTTCATCTGGTCGTTTAATTAAGTTAAACAATGTGTGGGTCAAAGAATCTCGTGTACTGCTGTCTGGATGGCGCTCAATAGCACACATTATCAGAGGAAGAAGCTCCTAAAGAAAAAAGTAAGGGTGATAAATATAAGATAACATTCACTTTAGATAACGAAAACAAAAGCAGATAAGGACAGAAATGAAAAGAACAAATATTCACTACCAAACCTCACGATGGTTGATTAGAACATAAGGAACAATTTTAGGCAATGCATCCGATAGGATCTGAATGGTTTCCAATCCCTGGAGAAAGTTTAATTATATTTCAGAGATGGATTATAATAAGTTGTCCCCTTATGGCAATACTAACAGGCTCTAAAGCATGAATGCTAGTAACTTACCATCTTTTCAGGAACTGGTTCAGTACCTGGACTGTCTGATTTTAGAAGTAGCCCATTATCTTCTGGTACTGGTTCACCATTGTGTTTGGAGACATGCTCAGCACTCTCAATAGCACCATTATTATCATTTGAACAACTTACTAATGTCTCTCTTGGTGCTGTATCGGATTTATCATTGGTGTCATCAGAGGTTTGATTTGCAAGTAATTGAGCACCCACAGTTTCTAGAACTCCAGATGTCATGTCAACTGGAGGTGCTACAGCACTACTTTCATGGAAATCAACAACTTCATCTTTTGTCTCTATAAACTTTGTTTCATGATCAATAGATTCCACAGATTCTGTCACAATAAATTTTCCAGCCTTTAAGCTTTCTATTTCCTTCTGCAGCAATTTTATTTCTTCCTTGTAGCTTTCTAAGGACTCTGATTGCGCATGTTCAATTTCACCAGCTACCAAATTCCATCCAGATCGAGAACCTTCAATGTGCATTTTTAGTGAAGTGATTTCAGCTCTGCAGTCATTGAGTTCCTTTCTTTGGCGTTCCAATGACTGTTTCAGATCTTGAACCTGAAAATCATAACAACAGCTATAATTCCCACAAATATATTATTGACAGGCTACAGAAGATACACTTAATCAGAGAGAACTACCAGAATTTCCTTGTCTTTCAAATCCTTCTGCAGAGCTTCCAAGGATCTTGTCAACACCATAACTTGACCATCAGCCAAATCTTTGTTTTTCAGCAAAGACACTTTTTCTTTTTTGAGCTTGTCATTTTCTTTTAGCAAAGACTCATTTGCTCGAAGCATCGCAATTTTTTCCTGCAGCATGGGTAAGCTGTCTCATATATGTTGCAGTTCAGCAACAAGAAGCAAGATTCAAATTATTATTTATAAAAAAAAAAAAAAGAAATAAATAATTTAAAAAAAAAAAAAAAGAAAGAAAGAAAAGAAAGGAAAAGAAAACTTTGGTGAATAGTGATTATGAATCATTGAAACTGGTTGGGTATGAAAGCATCCTAGCCTTGACTAAAGAGGCCCGCTGAAACATTTACTTCATAAAAGCTGATCACTCATTGATTTGGTTCCAAAGGAAATTAATGTCAGATGATCTATAAAGGGTTACTAATTCATCTGCAATTCCTTTGAGAATACACAAAAAACTACTTGCCTACCCCATTTGTGTTTTGGAAGTACCTCAGCAGCCTCTGCAGTGGATGAGAGGTACTGGTAATAGTAATGACGGAGCGCATCTGATACGCATGCAGATGAGGTCTCCCAAACATCTAGGTTCTGGTCAGTAACCTGCAGTTAAAGATATGAAAAGTTAAAACAATGTTCGTGTGCTGAGCCAGAACCTACAATCTATTGGAAATATATTTTCTAGAGACACCACAAATATACATCACCACAACATAAGAGACCAAATACGAAATGAATTACTTTGCATCAGATTAGTTAAACCAGTATTTCAAAAGCTGAAACAAACCCCCGTTGATCAACACAAGAGGTTGTTAAGGTTAGGAACCACTTTCCTGGACAAGCCAACTACATATGCAACATTATAAAGTATCTATTTCATAATATTCTTTACTCATGGAAGAATCAAAGAATACACATAAATTTATTCAAGTACACTTCTTTTTTTATAGGTACTCAGTTCAATTTTGTGTCACATTTTTGTCTTTTATGTCCATTGATTGACCAATCAACAGCAGCCACCATCTTTTACAGTCCAAAGTCATTTATAAAAACATGAGAGATTTAAAAAAATAAAATAAAATAAAAAAAGAAGCTGCAATTTGCATACCTCTTCATAAAATGTCATTGCAGTAAGACGGTATCCCGCTAAAAGCAAATACTCCTTTACAGCACAGTTGAGATCTTGACGTTCATTGTCCTTCAAAGGGCCCAAGTCAGAAAAGGAAGTCTCTCTCTTTCCTTGTTGAGAATCTGCCCCATTATTTGCAGAAACATTGGCATTTGTCCCTGAAAAATGCAATTAAGATAGATTAAATTCACAAAACTGGACATTTGTCCCTGAAAAATGCAATTAAGATAGATTAAATTCACAAAACTGGAGAAAACATTGTGGCCTATTTGATGATAGAATATAAAAACCATAATGAAACCTACAAAGCACCATTGTAAACCAGGAAAAACTAATAAGATCTCATTATTTACTGTGCAATTTTAACTTAAACAGAAAAAATCATAAAGATGTTGAAGAAGGGAACAAGCAAAGGTGTACAGATATGAGTTCTTTAATATGTTCACTTCTAAAAACTATATTTTACCATGGATGATTAATAGCCAACACAGTTATAGGAGAATATTGCATACGCAGAGCAAAAAACAAGAGGAGATATAAAGGAACTCAATTTTATCCCAGGTGTTCCAATTATTTTGAAAACAATGAACCATGGATAAATTTTTATATGCAAGGGCCCACAATATAAAACACATTATTTGCATTCAACACTAAACCGAAAAATGTGCTGTAAAACATTCTGAAATGTAAAAAAGCACACTCCCTTGGATGTGAAGCAGAGTTGAAGACTTGCCAGTTAATTCATCTGGTGTCAATTCAGTTTTCTTCTGCAAATCAGCCTTCAGTTTCAAAGTATCCTCTTGTGCCAAACGAAGCGCATACTCACTCAGTGCCAATTTTTCTTCTAGTGCTTCTTTTTCTTCTAGCAAACTCTGGGGGTCCGCAACTAGTTCCCATAAATGAGTAGCAAAAAAAGGACCATCAGTTGTGTGTAAGTTCAGGATAAAAAAAACATATACTCTTCTCAGACAGTAATTCAGGCACACCACATCCCAAACATCAATTCTAACCAAAAGCAAGACAACTATTCCAGAAAAGAAAACATTACACCATCAGCAGTAACTAGTAACCACTGAGAAACCAATGATTGAAGAAAAAGTGGAAGCTATTCAGCATCTATATGTCGATCATATCACCAATTAGAAAAATTCAACTCTAACCCAGCTATTCTGATTTTAGGGAGGGCAGTTGTTCCAAAAGCTTAATATATTAATATTCTATAATTTTATGTATATTTTCTTATGCTCTAGGGGTCCAGGGTACTTCAGATATTTTCAGTTTTACTAGACATAAGCTATAGTAGTGGTCCACAGGTCATAATTTGGGTCAAGTTGTAACTTAGGTATTTATTGGAAAACTTTATTTGGTTAATATTGATTATACAAGTCAAAATCTTCAAGTGCTTCGAAGAATTTTTAGTAATTGTAAACCCAAAATGTCCAAAAAAATCCAAGTGTGATTGAGTGATTCCTCGCATCTTCTTCAACTTGTCTTTTTCATTATTACATTTATGATCTTCTTACACCTCCAAAACATAAGACCAGACCTTATTAACCTTTGTTGTATTCTTAGAGATCCTATTTTGAAGCCCAAGCCAATTCACTCTTGGCATCACAAATTGCAAGACTAAAGTAACCTTGACAGTCCTGTTCAAAACCCATAGTAGCCCAAAACTTTGCATTCTCTTGCTTAATGTAACCATAAAATCAACCCTCATGCACCATTAAAATGCTGAAACTCCTTAGTTTCAACAACCTTCAAAGGCATAAATGAAATAATATGCAACCTAAATAAATCCCTGCACCGCTTCCCTATAATTTTGCAATGAAAGGTTGTAGGAGAGTGTTCATCATCACACTTGTCCTATATATCTACTAAATTTAACATCAAAATAATACTCCCTAATCCATGCTTGCATCAAAGAAATGTCTAGCAATTCCTAATTTCTAACCCATAAGGCAGCATTAAATTAAACCATTAAAATGATTGTAACAGACTTGTTCATATACGTGTCCACAAACGTGATAAAAACAAGCTTTCCCTCATGAGACTCAAGGTTATGCTAAGAAGGATCCTATGTCCGATTTAAGCATATTCAAAACACGATAACATTTTTTTGTAAGAACCTGTTAAAGATAATCTGTCTTCTGAATCTGTAAGAACCTGTTAAAGATAATCTGTCTTCTGAATCTGTAAGAACCTGTTAAAGATAATCTGTCTTCTGAATCTGTAAGAACCTGTTAAAGATAATCTGTCTTCTGAATCTGTAAGAACCTGTTAAAGATAATCTGTCTTCTGAATCTGTAAGAACCTGTTAAAGATAATCTTTAAAGATAATCTGTCTTCTGAATCTGTAAGAACCTGTTAAAGATAATCTTTAAAGATAATCTGTCTTCTGAATCTGTAAGAACCTGTTAAAGATAATCTTTAAAGATAATCTGTCTTCTGAATCTGTAAGAACCTGTTAAAGATAATCTTTAAAGATAATCTGTCTTCTGAATCTGTAAGAACCTGTTAAAGATAATCTTTAAAGATAATCTGTCTTCTGAATCTGTAAGAACCTGTTAAAGATAATCTTTAAAGATAATCTGTCTTCTGAATCTGTAAGAACCTGTTAAAGATAATCTTTAAAGATAATCTGTCTTCTGAATCTGTAAGAACCTGTTAAAGATAATCTTTCATTACAATCGCACTGTAATATACTCCTTTCCTTTAATTACTTGTATCTGTCTTCTGAATCTGTCAACACTTCAAGATTGCTATGAACTCCCAACACTTTCTGTGAGCCCATAAAGCAAGGAAATTTATTGCCAAGAGAAATTATGGAAGAAAAAGGATCCAGCATCTATCCTTTTAAAAGCTATGGTGGATGCAAGCTGGGATTGGATTAGACATTGACTTATCTGTGTTGTTTAATTCTTCATTGAAACAAACACCCATGAATTTGAAAAAACAAATCTGTAGTAAAACTGGGGGCTAAGTGGATTCAGAACCTACAACAGAGTAAGAACCTTGTTTAATACTTTGTATACTTGAAACCTAAGGCATCTCCAATTCATAACACAAAACCTATATCAAATTTAAATTTGGATAAAAATCACTTAAAAAACCTCTCCACTCAAACTAATATCAATTTGAGTTTTACCCATTGTTTTTATCCTAATCAAGGGAAGACTCAAATGTTACTCAAAATTTTCAAGACCCTTTTGTAACTTCCAAATATACAACTCTGTCAGTACTGAAGATTTACTCAAATTTATACTTCAACCTGATTTTGTCCATTGGAGTGTTTCATCTATCTATCGATCTATCTATCTATCTATACTATTATAAAGAGAAGGCTCAACTTGGTGTTTGTCTCAATTCTTCGATTTTCCCAAAGTGTCCGTATATAGCAATTAGGTGGTTAGTTATGCCCTAAATTCAAGGTTTTTTATTTTTATTTTTTTCCAAATCTGTTCCCCTCTGATTTCAGAATTTGAATTCAATCATATAGTTTACAGTTTTATTTTTCTAAAATAAAATGACACCACTTCTAGTATCAAATAAAGCTTTTACTCAAATTAGAGTAAATTTCACAACTTGAGATCAAAACTCACCCAAATTTAAGCAAATATACATCTATAAAAGATTTACAACAGTCAGGACAAATCTTCAATGAAAGCAATCAACAACCACACTTAGAGAGAGAGAGAGAGAGAGGAACCTCGGAGGGAATTGAAACGAGAGATCTGATCGGGGGGGAACTGAGAGGGGTCAGAGAAGAAATCTTTGAGGCGAATAGCCTGAGCATCACGGCCATCGTCGAGAAGCTCGTGAAGAAGCTCGAACGCAGACAACAAGTAGTTCTCTTCGAGGAGGAAGTTCACAACGCAATTGCAGAGCGAAGATCTCTCCACATCCATTGTTGTTTTGAAATCAATCATTCAGTGATCCTCCTCCCCACACTTCCAATGGTGAGAATCAACTATCGATTTCTTGTCATATTCTTCTTCTACACACCATCGAAGTTGCTCCTGTAGATCTGTGCATTGTAATTTGCAATTCAAACTCAGAGAACTTGTTTCGATTCGAGATTTTGGGTTTCGAAGAGGTGGAGATTGCTGGTGTTAAGGTGCTCCGCAGCAGTATCGGTGTTGATGATTTTTACTGTCCTGAGAAATCTCTGAACTCCAGGATCACATTCAACTTGCATAAATTTTGGTGCGTCTAACCATTAAAATATCATAAAAGTCAATCGTCAACCCATTCGTCAAATCTAATTAAGAACAATTTATACACTTTTGATATATATATATACTAGCGTATGCCCGTGCCTAAAGGCACGGTGTAAATAATTTTAAGATTAAAATGCAGTTATAATTTATACGTATTATGTTGAAATTTATAAAGGTTGTGTCATTTTTTGATAAAGATACTGAAAAAATATATTGAAATATTTTTCTTCTTAAAGAACTTATAACAATTTTGCTTGTATTACACGCTCTACAAAACTCAAATAAAATAACAACTCCCCCTAATCTTAATGTAAATTAAGAAACAAACATATAAGATTTAAAGTTATATTGCATATCAAAATATAAAAGGCAGTAAAAAAAAGTATAAACACTGAACAAAAAACAGAAATAAAGTTATATTGTCATACACCAAAAGAGTAGGTTAAAACTTTACAAAAAGTGGATTAAAGTTTTACAAAAGATGTATGCTTTACAAAAGATGTGTCACTAACATGTCATACACCAAAAATTATATTGTCATACACCAAAAATATGTATGCTTTACAAAAGATGTATTAATAACATGTCTTCGAATATGTGTTTGCCCAAACTTCCTCCTCATTACTTTCCAAAAAGTCTTTGTATCAACTTTTACGTATCCCCAATAAGAAATATGCACAACAATCTGGTAATTTGTGGAAACAAAATAAATGACACAAACTTTTGCTTGTATTAGTACATTTGTTGGAAATATACATGTCAAAATACTTTCAGATTGAAATTACCTTATTACATCCCCATCGAAGCAAGCTAGTCGTATTTCTCCTTTTAAGCTCCATAGATTTTTCGGTCCAATCCTACAAAAGTCCAAATTTCAAAATATTATTAAATTGAAATTTTTTAAAAAGTTATATAATCAACAGAAATAAATCTACGTGGTTACCTTCTAAAAAAACGTCATTTAATCTGCATAGAATACTACAGCAACACTTCAGGATAAACAATATTTGTAGTAGAATCCAAACTATATTTAGGGAGGAGAATACTTATACGATCAAA